TAGTGTGATCTGTGGTACCACTAATGTGATCTGTGGTACCACTAGTGTGACCTGTGGTACCACTAGTGTGACCTGTAGTACCACTAGTGTGACCTGTGGTACCACTAGTGTGACCTGTGGTACCACTAGTGTGACCTGTGGTACCACTAGTGTGACCTGTGGTACCACTAGTGTGACCTGTGGTACCACTAGTGTGACTTGTGGTACCACTAGTGTGACTTGTGGTACCACTAGTGTGACCCGTGGTACCACTAGTGTGACCTGTGGTACCACTAGTGTGACTTATGGTACCACTAGTGTGACCTGTGGTACCACTAGTGTGACCTGTGGTACCACTAGTGTGACCTGTAGTACCCTAGTGTGACCTGTGGTACCACTAGTGTGACCTGTAGTACCACTAGTGTGACCTGTGGTACCACTAGTGACCTGTGGTACCACTAGTGTGACCTGTGTACCACTAGTGTGACCTGTGGTACCACTAGTGTGACCTGTGGTACCACTAGTGTGACCTGTGGTACCACTAGTGTGACCTGTGGTACCACTAGTGTGACTTGTGGTACCACTAGTGTGACTTGTGGTACCACTAGTGTGACTTGTGGTACCACTAGTGTGACCTGTGGTACCACTAGTGTGACCTCTGGTACCACTAGTGTGACCTCTGGTTCCACTAGTGTGACCCGTGGTGCCACTAGTGTGACCTCTGGTTCCACTAGTGTGACCCGTGGTGCCACTAGTGTGACCTCTGGTTCCACTAGTGTGACCTGTGGTACCACTAGTGTGACCTCTGGTACCACTAGTGTGACTTGTGGTACCACTAGTGTGATCCGTGGTGCCACTAGTGTGACCTAGTGGTGACTGGATCAGCTGGAAGGTTTGGTAACCCTTGTAACCAGGAAAATTTTGCACTGAGCACTAAAGGTTATGGGAAGCGGTGGCATGTGTAGATGATAGAGATAAATCTAATGAGCCATGCTAGCCACGTCCCTCCCGCCATCACTATTTAGCAGAGAGCGCGTGTCTGGGAGCTGAGGTGGTTGTCATGGGTGCGTCGACTCCATGGAGCTACCTGCCCCGCCACACGCTAGGCTTCCAACAAACAAGATGGAAAACTAGATGAAGTTGAACAAATCATCGCCTTTAAATTGCTATTATGAACTGAAGATCTGTGGGGTGCCACAGGGATCCATTTTGGGGTCAACTCTTTTTTGTCATATGCATCAATGACATACGTGAGAATATTACAAACCATATCATCAAATTTGCAGATGACACTAAGATTTATGGTAAAGTGGGGAGTGAAAATGAGACTGAGGTCTTACAAAGAAATCTACATGAACTCCTCAAATGGTCGGAAGACTGGCAAATGCTTTTTAAATAGAAAAATGCAAGTTGTTGCATATGGAACAAAAATTCTCACCACAACTACCAAATTAACAATATTATCTTACAGCAGATTAATGAAGAAAAGGACCTTGTAGTCAGACTCTGTCATTCACTAAGTGTTGCACAGCAAGTGGAAGCTGTAATAAAAAAAGGCTAACCAAACTCTAGGAATAATTAAGCGAACATTTAACTTCAAGGAAAAGAAGGTAGTTATTCACTTGTATTAAATAGTGAGTCTCTGGTACGCCTCCACTTGGATTATTTATTGTAATTAAGTATGGAGACATCGTCAAAAAGACATAGCTGCTTTGGAGAAAGTTCAACACCGAGAAACAAAAATCATTCCAGGTCTAAGTCAACGCTAATACCAGGAAAAGTTGAGGGTCACGGGGCTAACAAACTGCAGAGCAGACATAACAGGGATGATCCCATCAAAACTTTTAAAATACAGTAATGAACAATTTAGAGGATAGTGATTCAGACTTCGTTTTCAAAAGGTCAGATGTAACACAAACAAGGAGCAACAGTTTCAAGCTCAACAAGCCACAATGTAGAACAGAACACAGGAGATGCTTTTTCACGTTCTCAGATCCTTGAATACTTTGAATTTTGCCACATTATACAACTGTTAAGCTGCTCTCTCGATCTCGACTGAGACAGCATGGAACGAGTCGTTATCGCATGAATGGCGAGACAAACTGACAAGAACTAGTTTGTATTATTGGAGGGAATGCATGAAATGGAGGTTGCTGCTCTGAGCTCACGAGTAAGTCCACTTGTCGCGTCCATGTGTGCCCATCTTACACTTTTAGTTCTTGTCAGAGTTCTTGACCCAGTTATTCTGTATGCGAGTGCTCTTCTCAAGCATTGCTGGTTAAAAAGGGAGTGTGAGTGCTATACTGGTAAGTTATTGTGTTTATAACCCGGTGTGTGTGTGTTCTTACCTAACTGGCCTCTGGAAATAACCTCATGTTCCAGAGATGTTTTTGTTCTCGCTAAATTTAGACAGTGACTCTTGAACCTTTGTTCTCTGTCATATACTTTTACAGGTACGACTGAAGTTAGCTTTCATTACTTGCCTTTCTAGCTGTCTACTTGTTTACTGCTTGCTGTCCATTGCTTGTACACTATATATAAATACTTGTCCCTCTACCTCGCCACCGATTGGAATATACGTGCATCCGATCCCACGATCGTCGTCGCCCCCTAAATCAACACGATATGTGTCCTCTCTTGTTCTCTTCTCACTGAAATACTTTGAGCTATTATACGTAACTACTTCGTGTACTCACGAATACTGGGAGGTATTAGGATAACACAAACAAGGAGCAACGGTTTCAAGCTCAACAAGCCACAATGTACGACTGAGAACAGGAGATGCTTTTTCACCCACAGGGTTATTAACCCATGAAACCGCCTTTTCGCCGAAGCTGTTAATGCCAAAACTGTTGGGGTTTAAAGTACAGCTTGTGCCCATCAAGGCAAATGGGGGGGGGGGGGCGGGGACCTTCAACATGCCGCCGGCTTCCTGTCCTCGTCGAGGCCACTGGTGTTAGTGACTCTGAGGTAAACTCAGGTAAACTCAGGTATTCTTGTGCCCTACCAAGGGTTTGCTAGTGCAGGCTAACACATTATACTCCCATTGCATGATCTTTCCTGGTTCGTTGTATGACTAACCATCCCGTGAGATGGGGATATTAGAAATCTTCTCCGGGTTCCTTTTTTCCAACGAAGTTATGCAGTTTTCTTATCGCATCTTCCATTACAGTTTTATTTTTGCACTTATATGCCAGCTCTACACTAGTGTCGCACGATTTGATACTTGTCTCAGGTAGAGGTTATACAACTCTGTGAACCTCAGCTCATCCTACATTGAAATTGAAATTGAAATAAGTTTATTGAGGTAAAATACACACAAAGGGATGAGGTAGCTCAAGCTATTCTCACCCCGTTCAGTACATCGTGTCTATTCTCTGCTATTCGATGAGTCTATTCGATGAGCTATTCTCATCGTGTTAATACATACATAGATACACATCACAAACAATAAACATATTACCAAACATTATGAGAGATAAACATATACATTCGCCCTTAGCACAAGTAGTATAGTACATCCTACATGGTAATGTTGGGTGGATGGTACCGACCGTGTACCCAAGACAGCTCAAGCATTCACAAGACATACTGGTTAGTTATACTGGTATATGGTGATTGGATCTTTATTTTGTATCAATTCACCAGGTAAATCGATTTTATACTAATAACTTTATATATATATATATATATATATATATATATATATATATATATATATATATATATATATATATATATATATATATATATATACACACAATATATATATATCGTAAAAAGTTATTATAAAATCGATTTACCTGGTGCTTCATAATCAAAATCAAATCCCTCATATACCAATATAGCTATTCTAAGCAACATGAATGTTTGAGCTGTCTTGGGTACACGTTGGTACCATCCGCCCAACATTACCATTTACTGACATGTTATATTATATGCTGCTATAAGCTGATTGAGATGAGCATCAACGGACATTCAGTATTTGTTATCTTTAAAATTCTGGCATCGTTTCAAGCTGCCCTTCCTGAACCCTGTTAAATACACATTTGTCAACACTGCTGGAGTTGCCGTCCACCACATTTTGATATCCAAAACTTTCCTTACATTGAATTACTGACTTATTATTTGAACTATGTGAAATGAAAGCACGTTTCCTAAAGTTGACTTTATCATAAGATAAATTGTTGTTATGATTGTAAGTTCAGTAATGTAGCATAATTGAAATATGTAGGAGGTGAGGCAGCAGTGAGATAACACAGGTAGTGGGGCAACAGCTGAGTGAGTGAGAGACAGTCAAGGGTGAGGGTCCCTCCACGTCAGTCGGGCTCCAGTCCTACCCTGTGGCGGGTCATCTGTTCCTCCTCTCCTCTCTATACACTATATATATATATATCCCTGCCACTCCTGTCATAGCTGCTCCGTTGAAAACTGGAGTCAGTGGATGTCACTGATCTGTGTGAGAGATAGCTGGAGTAAACTGAATGGCAGGCGAGGGAGAGGCCAGGAGGCTGGTAGCTCGTAGCTGTCATGTTGGACTGCATTATTACAGGTTGAGGAGAAGAGACCCGGACACTTGGAGGAGAGGTCGGCTGTGGTGATCGGGGCTCGCCGGTACCCACCGTGTTATAGTGACTGTAATGACCACTGTCCTCGCAGACAACTTCGGCTGTGGTGCTTATAGCGACAGACGATTCATTTGTGCTAGGAGAATGAACCATGGAGTGAAAGTTCGAGTTTGTGGTGTGTGTAGTTGTGAAGACGATCACCTGAAGGTATGTGGGAGGTGTAAGGCGGCCTGGTACTGCAGCCCAGACCACCAGAGGCAACACTGGAAGCACCACAAGCCATTCTGCAAACCCAAAAATGGTGTCATGCCTCTCGAAGCACTTGCTGTTAAAAGTAGGAAAACAAGTAAGAGGCAGCAGGCACACACTGACTTCTCCCTTGACAGGTCTGTGCTTGACGCAGTAGCCTGCAGTCAAGGTACTGTTATGAGTGATTATGGCCTGCAATTTCAGGGGAGTGGTGGATGTGTTGAAGGGGTAAGGCGAAGGTCCCTGGCAGAACCCGACCTCAGCACCCCCATTGACTCCAGCAACATCTTAGAGGCGTCCTCTCAACACTTCCGCCCCAAGACGCCTTCTTTATATCACGTAGAAGTTTGTCCAGATTCTCAGTCACTTGAGGAAGGAGTCATTAGTCAAGAATGGTTCTCAAGAGTTATGCAGCTTGTGATGAGTGACCTCAATAAATATGGAGTCTGTGTCGTCGATCAGTTCTTGGGTAAGTGATTAAACTTTTTTACTTCGTACAGTGTGGTAAGTATTGTTGATTATGTTGAGTAACAAGATGGATGAAGCCTGGACACTCGCCCTTATGCATAACACATTTAGCCTAGGCAATAAAAATAGGAAAATTTGTTTTATAAAATGTAATGTAAAAGGGCTTCATGCAGGTATCAACTGTGTAAATATTTTGGATGTAAAACCATACATTATAAGAACTACATCTGCACATTTAAAATTCCAGAAGTCTTGCCAAGTACATTTGTAGAGGAAATTCTGTATTAATCATAGATCTGAGAACATGCTATGGATATGTTTCGTGTATTTTTTATATTTTTATTGGTATTGATAGTTTTTAATTATTTACTCACCTGAGCTATGTAGCTTGCAGTACAATGATGGCTTCCTACACATATACACGAACATGACCTGAATTATTGACATTTTACCATAAATGTGTAATTTGGTTCAACCATCTGAGCAGAGTTAATTAATGTACGTCTTGCAGTAGATGTACACATGTGCATCCTAACTTGACCTCATTATTGTTAGCTGTGTATCAAATTCCAAAGGCATGCTTGAAACCTATTAACTGAATCTGGGCAGTGATGTAAAAAAATTTATATATATACTGTGTGTATGTGCACATAAATACACACACACACCTATAATAATAATCTTTATTTAGGTAAGGTACATACATAAAGAGATTTACAAAGTTTGTTGGCTTTATAGATAGAGCTAGTACATACAATGCCTAAAGCCACTATTACGCAAAGCGTTTCGGGCAGATGGATGAACTTTACCTCTGTACTTTAAGTACCTCTGTACTTTAGGCTTGTATCAAGGTAACCCCTCCCTCTTAGGTTGAACTATTGACATTAGCTGTTAGGAGAGGAAATTTGCCCAACCTTTTCTGTCCCACCCGTAGGTCGAAACTGGGATTCCCGACTGTGAGTTAAGAAAGAAGCTTGTTGCAAGTAGTTATCTTCCACTGCAATTTGCTTGATAAATTTAGTTTCTGGATCCATAGTGTGCCCTTTAACCATTACACTATCGCCCTTGAACTGGGTATAAAAGTGCATAATAATGTAATAATTACAGGTGCAGATGTAATTTACAAAGTACTGTATGTTATTGATTTTGAGGTGCATTATTTTAATGCTATTTTACATGCTATATACTGCACTGAAATGACAGTACAGTATACTGTATTCATCTTTTAATTTATTAATAATTTTAATACTTTAAGATTAAGGTACACGTATTAAAACCTATTTTGGCCTTTCCTGTACCACAATAGCCAGTTTAGTACCAGTGCAGAATAGCAGAAAAAATCTTAGTTTTGTACATTGCAGAATATATAAATTTGCAACTTTGCTCTATGGCCTTGCATATTGTTCTCTTCCTACTTTAGAAACTGGAATGAAACCTTAAATTACAATTTATATCCTGAAATTGCAGTTGACTGCAATTTTAGACTGTAAATTGTAACTTAAGGAAGGTCTTGTTCCAATTTCTAACATAAGGGAAGAATGCATTAAGTAGACATTATTTACCATAAATTATAGTATTTTGGAAAGGAAATTGCACAGAACAGTACCTGTAGCATATGACCAAATCATGAATTTTACTTTTGATTTAAAGCAGTATGTTAGAAAAGAAAGTTCTTGTATATATATTGGTTCCACAAGTAAGGTAACTATTGGAAAATAACACATTATATTTGTATGAACTTAACTTTTAAATGGTGATTAAATGTACAATACTGTACTTGAATTTAAAGTTACAAAATGGTTTTTGTACTGTATTGTATGAAGAGTTTAGACTTGATGGTCTTGTGCTATGCATTAAGATAGTATACTGGAGAGGCACTGAAGAGGTCAAGTGTAGGTTAGTTGGCCAGGTGGTACAGTGACGCTCTTGACCACTTCAAACTTCACTTCTCATAATATACAAACAAAGGCTCCCAAGCTCTCGTGTATGAACTCATTCAAATGCTTATGTTCCCACCTGAACACACACTCGCCTACATGTATACCAATTCCCACATTAGAGAAGCTGTGCATATTTAAGTGTAGTTAAATTCCTTTTAGTTGATATAGTCCGTTTCATAAATAATTTGCTCGTACTGTATCTGTTTTCCCATCATGGCGCACAATTTTTATACAGTACTTAAACTATATTAGAACTGTTGTAACTTTCAGTACTAAATTATAAATTATATTTGGCAATATTGTACAGTACATTCCTGCTTTCATGTTCAGTAACAATCATGTGTGATATCTAGGCATAACTTGGCAATTTTAATGTTCATTTCTTCACCATTACAAGTTACAGTAGTGCAATTGGGAATCCTGAGCTATTGTGCCTACTGTGCAGTGTAACTGATACTGCAATTCATATGATCTTGAAATAGTTGGATGAATTTGGCATAGTAATTTCTTAGTTTTTATGGAAATTAGTAACCACTACTGTACTAGGTTTGTGATGGTACTGCCTGGTTGCCTTGTAATATTACCGTGCCAAAGAAATCTTTGCACCAATCTGAGCACTTTGAAAGTACAGTACTTGTAATATTTGTGCATGTCTAGATAAGGTTTGTGTATTACAGTACTAGTAAAATTTTTCTAACCTTGCCAAATTTGTTTAATTAAACTAGATAAGATGTCATTGATTAGACCTAGAGTATTCATAAACAAAAATATTAAATTACTAGAAGTACCAGTACAAGTATATTGTGCAGTACTATAGTAATGAAGTCAGTAATATATTGAAGCTCACTGATGAATTATAATTTTACAGCACACATGCATCATAAGGTTGCTGGGCTTTTTGCATTAAGAATAACATTTAGCTTAGTTTTAAAAACTGGTTTTTCTAAGCAATGGTGTAGTTTCCTTGTATTGTGCTGTAATGCATAGTTCAGAATAGTACTTGCCTATCAGTGACTACAGGGGTGTGACTACAGTGATTTTATGCAGGATGTAGTAATATGGCATTCCTGGTGAAATTATACTCTCGTCTATTCATAGTATGTTGTCATGTTTAACCAATAATGGCTATAAATTATTTTTGTAATTCTAAAAAACTAACAAGGTTGTTTTGTTTACCCTTCAGGGGAGGAGCGTGCAGAACAAATCTTGAAAGAGGTTGGGGCACTTCACTCGTGTGGTGTGTTCCAGGATGGTCAGGTTGTTTCAAGACAAGTGCAGGACCAGGCACGGGGAATGATCCGTGGTGATAAAATTACCTGGGTCACAGGAAGCGAGCCTAACTGCACTAATATTGGCAAATTAGTGACGAGAGTAGATTCTGTAGTGGCGAAAGTAAACAAACACCAAGATGCTGGCAAACTTGCGCACTACAACATTACCTGGAGGACGCGGGTGTGTACCTTGTCCTTCTACTGTACAATATTTGTAGACTAAGGAAGTGTGAAGCATGATTTGAAGAACAGTACAGTATTTATCCTGAGATAGCTTAAACCTATTGCTTGTTCATCAGTGGAATTTTCATGACTAGGTACAATGTGATTTTCTTGAAGGACGTGGTACCTTTTCTTCACCTTCCTTCTGATCCTATCTGTTACCAAGTAATTCATAGTTTTCTATCAAATATCTGAACTCTGATTATTTTTGTGCTTTTAACATCGTAACATTTGTACAATTACAATATTGTAGTAGGGAGTGCTCTAGGACTCTTGAGTGACATGGGCAAAGCCTTTTACATAAAAGGTACTGTAATACGGTACCCTCCTGAAGTTCTGCAAGAATTACATTTAAGCAATGCAGTACATCTTGGTTATTAATTAGCATTGAATTTGGAAATAGCAAAGCAGTACTGTTGTAAAGAAATTTCTGAAGCTAATTTAAATTATGAAATGCACAATGTTTAAAAGATTGTCCTATTATATATATATTTAGTTGAAAATGCCATGGCAGTGCTATTTTAGCAAATTAACAGAACTTGGTAAATGGCCAATAATTGCTGAATGTGACTATCCATGCAAACTGAACAATCTTAGTATTTTAGATGTATCTAGATTGCAAAACTGAAATTTCTTATGGAAAGGCAAAGAATGTATTGTTTACTCTATGTAATGATCCCCCAAATACAGTATTTAGGTTTAATAAAGAACCTAACCTACACCAGGTTCAAGTCACGATTTAGGTTTTAAGAAGAGTACTGTAGTTACTTTTACAAAGAACAAAACAATGTTATTGTATCATTTATTGATATGTACTGTGTTATGCTGATGAAATTGTTTCAGAAATTTTAATTGAACACTTTTTTTTCAAGTTATGGGATTGTTTTTCAGGCTATGGTGGCTTGCTACCCTGGGCGAGATGCACACTATGTGAAACATGTTGACAACCCCAATGGTGATGGTCGATGCATCACTGCTATTTATTATATCAACAAAGATTGGACACCACAGGTATGTTTTGTTATTGGTAGTCCTGCATGCTTGTTGTAGAAGAGTATAACTCAAAGCTGAGTAGTGTTATGAACTACAGTATCATGATTACTCTCAACCTTTAAGCTGTGGGGCTCATAATATTGCATTGTCGTAAGTCAGCCCTGCAGGGATTCTTATATTGCAAACAGCTTTCACCTGCAACCCAATGTCATTGCATTAATTACTTCATGGCCCCCATTCAAACAGTAACATGGGGACTAATCCATAATGGATAGGCCACTAAACTTGATCTACTTATTCCACTACTAACATTTCCCTCTATAGCTTTCTGCTTTGCATTCTTTTTCCCTTCCTCCTCATCCTTACTCAAACCTTTGGTATTTTATCAAGAGTATTAAGTCTGCCTAAATAGATACAGTAGTTCCATAGCTCAAATTGTACTGTTTTTTCCTCCTTTTTAATTTTTCATGGAACATTCTATTACTCGCTAAAGAATTTTTTCCATGTGCAGTTTATAACTTAAGGTTCCACTCGATATCCAACTACAATACAGTATTCTTAAGCATGTTGCTGTGGCACTCACCGAGTGTGATTACACGGTATTACCTATATGCTGAATATACCAGTGAGATGACATGGTCCAAGGCTCTCCAACTTTATGGTTGTAGTATCAGCATTTAGACTGACATCTTCAATGAACCAAATCTTCATTTTGAAGTAGATTAGCAATTCTATATTGTTTAGGAATATATATACATGCAGAAATTCACAGGGCCTGTTCCTGTAGGTGTTGATGTGGACTACAGCAAGTTTCAAAGGCACCACATGCTAAATAAAGTTCTACCATTCAAGCAATGGTAAAAGATTGTGGATATAAAACTTCATTTAAATAATAGAATTATAATTGTCCCTGCAACACAATGTAAGTTCCAGACATGCTCACTACACATTTCCAGTTAAACTATGTAATGGATTTGGTTGTTACCATCTTCAAAATTTTAAGTACTGTACTGTATTTTAAGTTGTCATACTAGCACTATGATCACTATGATCACACTAACGAGTTGGTTCCATTTATAGGCTTAAAGGCATATGTAGGTTAGCTACTACAAATAACAAACCACATTTTTTTATGGTAATTGATCATGTAACTTAAAAGGTTAATGAATCTTAATTAGGTGTAAGGTTTAAGATAAATCCAATGTCATGATTGTTAAGACCACACTCTAGTTTATTAACCTAGTATACAGTACTGTAATATTGAGACAGCCAAGGATTTACAATTTTTGGTGTATGTCCCCTTTTATAATATAATTCATGACAAATGTTCCGCTTTTTTTATTATGATAAATGCTGAACTTCAGTAATCATATTAGCCTAGACCAACAGTTCTTGTTTAAAAGGTTGTTACTAGTTGATGTATATATATATATTGGGGCTATCTGGAATGGGAACATGTACACAGAGGTGCACTCTTTGGTTTACACTGTTACATACATAATTATATTAGGGATTAAAGTATGTAGTACTGTATTGTGCTATGTAGTACTTCTAAGTTAAGAAATATAGTAATTGCAGCCTTAAATTCTCAAGGCATATTTAAGCTATGTACTTTTATACGGAACTTTTCTTTCCCTAGTATTCTCCAACTAAATATACTGTATACAAAAATAAATGCCTATAGACTGACACATCATTTTACTTAAATTTTGGCAAGTATGGAGCTGGCTCAAGATTATACATATACAGGCTATAAAGGTCTATCTTTGCAGCTTAGGTGTAGCTTTGTTTCAAACTTTTCTGCAGTATTTACTTTCACTTGTGCTTGGCACAATTTGTTGATCAACCTCTCCACCGTCCCTGAACACTTGTTCACGCTCATCAATCCCTCACAATCATATCACACATACCTTATCACTTCTCTTAACCAATAGCAGGCTTGTCACGGTTACCAAATTGCTTATTCATTCTTGATTTGTATTACATTTTTTGCTGTATCAGTTTGACTCGACTGAAATGTAGTACAGTAATTTTGTTTCTGGACTTTGTTGGTCTTGGTTAAATTTTTAGCTTTGACTTGCTAATCACTTTTGAAGTTTCTGTATTCTTGTTTATCAAGATGATAGTATTGTAACTTGAAATTACCAGTAAAGTGAAAAAAATTGGTTTAAGAAAACCTTTGTAATTTAACAAATGATGAAAAATGATTTTACCATTATTTATATGTACTGTGTGTGTGTGTGTAAACACACACACACACACATACATACATACATACATACATACATACATACATACATACATACATACATACATACTGGAAAAGGTTCAAAGGTTTGCCACCAGACTAGTACCCGAGCTGAGAGGTATGAGCTACGAGGAGAGACTACGGGAATTAAACCTCACTTCGTTGGAAGACAGAAAAGTTAGGGGGGGGGGACATGATGACCACATTCAAGATTCTCAAGGGAATTGACAGGGTTGATAAAGATAGGCTATTTAACACAAGGGGCACACGCACTAGGGGACACAGGTGGAAACTTGAGTGCCCAAATGAGCCACAGAGATATTAGAAAAAACTTTTTTAGTGTAAGAGTGGTTGACAAATGGAATGCATTAGGAAGTAATGTGGTGGAGGCTGACTCCATACACAGTTTCAAGTGTAGATATGATAGAGCCCAATAGGCTCAGGAATCTGTACACCTGTTGATTGACGGTTGAGAGGTGGGACCAAAGAGCCAGAGCTCAACCCCCACAAACACAACTAGGTGAGTACATACATATATACAGTATATACATTTTTTTAAATTCCTGTACTGTAAATGGGTCGCATTCCTGCACACTGGGTCCTTGAACAGTATTAAACAAAATTATTTCATCATAGTTTGTATTGTTAAATTAAAGAAAGAATAGTGCTTTATTTTGCTGCGCTATTTATTCTCTTATTAATTTAGGAGAATCTTTGTTCTCAGAAAAGAAAATTTTGTATTGATATATGTTATGTAATAATGTATATATAAAGAGACATGGAAGAATATATTAAGATTTAATTCTGTCCATGTAGAGTCTTGAGTTTAACCTGTGAGTAACCTGCGAGTCTTGAGTTTAACCTAGAGTCTTGTTTTTAGATTCTAAGTTTTTATATTGCATTTAGCCAACATTTCTTGTACAAAATCCAATTCCTCTGTATAGGATCATGTATTCAAAAAGTCTTTTCAGCATTTCAGTCCATGAAGTTAAAATAATTATTACATTACTCTTAACTTGTTATAAAGTAATAATTAAGATTTTTTTTTGTTGAGTAAATTGAGCAATCCATCTTGAAAGCTGAAGTTGTCTAGTTGATATTTTGAACAAGGAACAGGTTTACCCCATTGCTGAGCACCCATCACACCTTCCCAAGTACCTGCAACATCATTTGTATCTATCTTGAATGGTTTTATTGTAGAAATGATTGTCCTTGTCGATTTGTCTTTTAATTAAGTCTTGTTTTTTTTTTTTTTTTTTTTTAACAAACTTTGGATACTTTTCACTGCTGGTATCCTACCTTATGGGGGGTTAGTGTTTTGTGTAAAACAAACTGTTCATCTAATATTCACATTTCATACAAGTTGTCATCCATAGGACTAGCTTCAGGTTATATTACGTAATGAAATCAATAACTGGACAGTTGTTAATGTTTTAGATATGCATGTCCCTCCCCCCTCTCTTCTCCTAAAGGAATTTTTTTTTTTACTGTGTTAATTATCATTTAGAATATATAAAATTATTAGAAATCATATAATTTGTGATAAGGTAAAGTATACTCGTATATAATGCAGATTAAATTTCCCGGGAATGTTTGCCCACTACCTGTGCTGCTTGTCAGTGCTCGGTCAGTGGCCCAGGTTGAGTGTTATGCTTCTTCCGGGGCCCCTTGCCTTGTGTCACGTACACCATAGCAAGGCTTTGCTTTAATGTTATAGTATTACGTATCAACGATAGATGAGGCTCATATATTAAATAAAGATCAGGTGTAAACAAAAATTTAGATTAAATAACTACTATACAGAAGAAAAAGTAATTACTTGTTAGATTTCCTAGAATTTGGATACTGTATTTGAGAGGTCATGTGTGTAGCATGACTTAAGTGTTTCATAAACTGACCTCAATTGTATTAGGGTCATTTGTATTCACATTTGTATGTGGGTTTCTAGACTTGCCGTGAGGTGGTGTGCTTCACCTTGAGACCAACTTGAAGGACTTGCCACCTTGGGAGGCAGCTGGGTATACCATGATGTGCAGATAATAATGTTAAGCTTTAATAGTTGGAAAATGATAATGTTTATGGCACTGTGTTGACTTGTATTGTAAGGTGTGTTTTGTATTATATGAGGAGGAGGAGGAGGAGGAGCAGAGTCAATAGCTAACTGCTTGAGTCAGTGCTTGGGTCGAGTGACTTGAGTTTTCCTATTATACATCGGCATTATTCAATTAGTAGTGTTCATGGAGTTTTTAACCTTTTGCTTAACAGTTGGCTCAGTTCAAGGTTAGCTGCACTACAACTAGCAACTAATAGGCTCAAAATACAGTGGTAACTTTGTGATTCATAGTAAAGTGCTACTAAAAAAGTGCATAGTAAAGTGCTACTAAAGTGCTAAAAAACTACTTCAAAATTTACTGTACTAGAAATATTATAAATTTTATAAATATAATTGAGAGGACATTTTCATCATTGTATGGATAGTCTCGTATAGATGTTTAACAGCTTGATAAGAAATGTTTTTTTGGTCAGTCAACAAGAATTTTCTGAATTATTGTACTAGGAAATCTTGCTCCAGACAAAAAGTAAAGCTATAGAATATCAGTGGATATGTGGCTTAGTACCAAGTGCATGGATCTAAGTGTCAATTTCTTTAGAGTGTCTTCACACAGAGAGATGACTAGTGTTTGTAGAAATTAAAAATAGTTCTTTTGAAATGTTCAAATCAAATCAAATGTTTATTTAGGTAAGGTACATACATACAAGAGATTTTACAAAGAGTGATGGATTTATAGATAGGGCTAGTACATACAATGCCTAAAGCCACTATTACGCAAAGCGTTTCGGGCATGAAAAACTTAAATGACTAAAGCTTAATACTAATTGAGCATAAAGAGTAAAATGAAAACATGGAATGAAAACATAGCTGAAAAACCAGCACAAATACAATTCTGTCGACAAACAGCGCTCTTTAAAAAAAAAAAGACATTGGTTGACAATAGAGGGGTAAGGTAGGTTACAGGGAATTTATTAGGTAAAGCTTCGTTTTTATCTTAAACTGGTTGAGAGAGGTACAGTCTTTAACATGGTTGGGAAGGTCATTCCACAATCTGGGTCCCTTGATTTGTAGAGCATTTCTAGTTTGATTAAGTCGTACTCTAGGAATATCAAAACTGTATTTATTTCTGGTGTGGTGCTCATGGGTTCTGTTACAACCTTCTATGAAGCTTTTGAGGTCAGGATTGGCATTACAGTTTAGCGTTTTATATATGTTATGTCACATACTGTAGTAGAAAGGTAGATAAGGAACACCACTACAATAGGGTTATAAACTCATGGCACCGCCTACCCACCGAAACCATAATGTCAATTATGACATTAATTTGACATTCCAGTAATTTGAATTGCTGGAATTCAAAATCCAGCTAGATGAAATACAGATAAATCTTGGCCTCTGATAAGCCATCAACTTCTTGTCACTAAAGAACTCAGATTTGGTTGCAAGAGTCCCCGAAAAACTTGACTGTTCTCTGCAAAACTCCATCCAATTGCTCCAATATCATTCCCATTTGTGGCAGTTTACAAATCATTTAATGCCCTTAAGAACATAGTAATTTTGTGCAAATGTATTATTGCCTGAATTGATGAACTTTGTGTTTTATGGGCATTCTGCATCTCTGTATGATGGTAAAATAGCAACATTACTACACAGTGTTAACTTTTCTTTATGTAATTATAAATCTTTCATTTTGCAGGATGGTGGTGTATTGCGAATCTACCCCAAAGGTTGTAGCGACCAAGTAGCAGAGATTGAACCTTTGTTTGATCGTATGCTCTTTTTCTGGTCAGATCGTCGTAATCCTCATGAAGTATTACCAGCTAAAATTACCAGGTGTGTTCATGTTGTCCGAGTACATTGTTAATAATGATTTCATTGTTTCAACAATGAGTTATCAAGACACTTGCTGTGTAAAGCTTTTATTTTTTGGTTTAAACACTGAATTTCACCAAAAGAATATACTTGCCACAACATTATGCGGTACTCGTCATTGTTCTGCCTATGTAACATGTCCTTTTTCACAAACATTAAACTTTATTGTAATAAAATTTATATAAACTTTGTGGATTAATTTTGTTAGTTACTGCTACTCCTGTCTTGCTTTATCTTTATTTTTATCTGCTCACACTTCCATTTTTATCCTTCCTGGGTTGTCTAATCCATTATGAAAAGTTTACATTGGATATTATCAGTTGCAATGAATTTTCATATTCTACATTTGACAGTAATAGACCTTTGAAATTGGTTATGGTATCTCTCAATGTAATAAACTTAAAGCAAGGGTAGACAGTGACTTGTTGAAAATTTAATTAGTGCCATGAAGAACTTTTTAATTTTCTACAGACCTTGTTACAATAGTCAATTTCAATACAAATATTCTCCATCCTTTATATTGATTCATGCCACTTGTGGGATTATTGTGCATGTTGCCACATGTACTAAAATTCCTGTGTCCTTTTGAATTTAAGCCTACTGGGGCCGGTTGCTTCTGGGAGGTAGTGCACACCTTTTAAAAACGATTAGATTATGATGGGAGGTTTTGTGTCCTGGCCAGATAAATCTGCTAGTCAGTCCTGGCTAGGGTCAAGCATAAGCTCTTGAGTGTGACATAAATAGTGCTGCTATAAATGGAGTTAACTAGGATATGAACCCTGATGTAACAGCTCCTTGTTGATTTGGAAATACTTTTCAGGGCCCTGTCTTAGTTCTGTACATAGGTACATTATTTTCTTTGGGCAGATTAATCAAAATTTACATTCTTCGGTTAGGAATGAGAGATGCATCCCACCTTCCTGTTTAAAGACAATTGTGCCTTAGAAGGATTAGAAAGAAATAACTTCTCAGTGGTGATTATTCTTACAGGATAGCATAAATATCAGTGTACAGTATTTTGAATTTTTATTTGTGGTACTACTGTACAGTACATAGATTAAAAATATATAAATTTTTGTAAATGAATATATATTTTAATATATTATTGACAGTTATTTGATGTGAGTTTTTCTTTTTCTCAGCAGATATGCCATTACTGTATGGTATCTGGACCAAAAAGAAAGGGAAGATTACTTGGCTCGGGTATCTAATACTTCTTCTAATACTTGACGAGATGTTGCTTCACTCTGCTTTCCCAGCTGGATCCATACTTGAACTCACTATAGCTGTGACTTCACCATCATGCAAACCTTTTGATAGAGCTGTCACACTGAACTTGACCAGATTAATAATATTAGCATGGACCGTGATCAGTTCATAACAGTGACCACATGTACAGGTGTTAAGACAGTGAGTGACTGTGTGCCATAATGATGCTAGACTGTGTTGACTATCATTACAGGAAATAAGTTCTTCAGATTTCAATAACTGTTGGTAAAGAGGAAAATTCAACCCCCTGATGAAAGGTTGTTTTATTACCGAGTGTAATTGGCTGTCAAGAATGTTTTCAAATGGCATTTATTTTGAAACGTAAACAATTTTTTTATTAAAACAACCTCAGCATGTGTGCATTTTGTCAAAAATTAATCAAAAAGATAAGAAAATAGGCAATCAAGACACGAGTTTCTACCTTGTAATGCTTTGTTCCGTCTTGCTGTCAAGATTTTGAGTTCCTAACCTTTGTTTCATTGTTTGGTCCTGCCATTTTAGGATATTAATTGTAAAGCACAATTGAATTCTTAAGTAGGACACCATGCATATAATATACCTTGTAAAGTGGGAAAAGTTTTGACTCGTGCATAGTAAAATAATGATGCATGTCACTGATAAGTAGGACATTGGTTTAGATGTAACTGAAGTATCTGGCCTTAATTGGCGTACTATAACAAATATTCTACAGCAAATACCATAGAAGTGCATTATCCAACAAATATGGAACCTGAAATGCAAAAATTTTGTTGACGTGTGAATTTTGTTTGCACATATTAAGCAGTTTAATTTGAAGGCAGAGCTTTCTATGCTGTTTGTCAGGTTACTAGTTTCTAGTATTGGAACATAACATTCATACCTCATACAAACAAGTCTCAAGGTTTGCATGTGTCATATGTTGATATGTACTTAGGAAATAGTGTTGCTGTATTGTGATTTATATTACAAATTTCATTAACACTTGTGTGTAAATTACATTTATATTGATTAGTAGTGGTTGTGATAAGTCTTTACACACATTGTGTGATAAATTCAGTATTATGATGTTCAAATTTTGTTACGATTACCAAAGATATCCATGAAGGTGAAAATGTTATGTGCCCCAGGTAGTTGGTGACCAAGTTTGCATGATGCTTATTAGTCGTCGGTTTAAATTAACTTGGTCACTGGTTTCTTTGTCGTTTACATCTGAACTGATCAACTATGTTGTCATGCTTTATATATTGAAGTGACAAAAACTATTGGAGTTTTGCTGAATATTTTGGTTTAATTTTTTTAATTAATTGGTATGGCCTTTTAACAAAAGTGTTTACTGTTATAAAACTTGTTAACTTTGACTAAAATGTACTCCATTAGTCATCTTTGGATGGCACAATTATAGCTGGGTGAAACGGTTGCATATCTGGAGGAACACCACAAGATTGCTATTGGATCTACTTTCTAAGGTTTCCTTCCATATTTGACTGTGAAAGTGTATGTATCAATGTTAGAGCCTCGCCCCTGGGCCCACAACATTTTTGCTGCTAATGATGGACCATGTTAATATGGTTTACTCGTATATCCACGAAGGTTCGTAAACAAAATTTTGTTTATTAACCTTGGAAATCTGTAGAGATTTCAAGTGTTATCTTGGAATTGGACAAATTGGTTAATTGGCTGTTGCCAGAAAATACTATATAGACATTTTTGCACATGTGCTGAGTGTCAGTATTTCCCCCCACAAAAAAGAATCTGGTCGTATAGAGCTGTTGGCTCATTTGAGAAACTAGCTCACTTTAATGTTTGAAATACATTAATTATTGGACATGGCTGTGCATGCAAGAATGGAATTGCTAGTTTTTGTTTGTTAGGAAACATTTAACTTAAAATGTTTGATAGTGTATGATGAAAGGTACAGTATATCCAATCTGTAACTTATTATGTATATTTTACAAATACGTTTGCAGCATTAGTATATGAAGGAGAAGTTAAGTTATTTTCTTATTTTTGTCAGTAAAATGTGCAACTTGATTACACTTCATGCAAGAAAAGTCTGTATGTATGATGCAAATGTTTTCTTTCGTTCATCATAAGGTGGTGATCAAGAGAACATACTGTATATGGAAATTCAGATTCCTATATAGTTCCTGAGGGGAAATGAGCTTGTAGTCAATGTATCAAGATCACAGTGCCACATTTTGGCACTCTAATGTTCAGTGAATTTTGTGCCTCGGCCTGAAAATTAGTTTGTTGCATATACCTGGTGCTATAGCATGTACGGTACTTTAACATTGTCATCTTATGATTAGGTTTGTGCACTGGAAACTTTTCTTCAAAATTACTGTATATTCAGTTAATAATGTTTTTAATAATAAATTACTATGTATGTTTTGAAGTGTACCATATTAAAATTACTGTGCTTCCATATTAAAATTATCACCCAAGGAAATTTAGGAAATAATTTAGTTTTTTGTTAAGTAAAAGTTTCCATTGTTTCCATTGTGCCAGCCAATTTTAGATGAATTGCTGGGCAACAACTGGTTTGTATATAACCCAGTATTTTATAGGCATTCTGTATGACATTTTATTTAAAGGATGTTGACAATTTGAGGGCAGATAAAAGAATTTGAGTCATAAAATAATTGAATGAAATTGTTTTTTATTATTCTTTTAAATTCATGATTGCTTTTTTAGAAGTTGAATGAATTGCAGATAGTTTCCAATACATTAAACATAAATTGGGTCATTCAAAGCAAATGTTGAGTTTCAGGTAATGCCATTTTAAAGAAATACAAAAGTACTAATAAAGGCATTAAACTAATTTTGCTGTAGTTGCTTAAAAATAGTCTAATACTTTGGACAAAGAAAATTATTTTCTTAATGGGTATATGTAATTATGCCAGATTGCTTACTACATAAATAAGTATACTATGTTTTGCAATTGCAAGACAATGCAAGCTAGATGAAATTGTGAACATGTACAAGGTATATTTTCATAATTTTTTTTTTTTTTTTTTTTTTTTTTTTTTTAAACATTCTGAATGTCTTTGTACATTAAAAAAAATGACAGGTGGTGCTATATAGTCTTCTGGGCTTGGTGCCTTTTTAATAATTACAGTACTTGCATTTAAAAAATAATTCCAGTTGCTTCATGGTTTCAATTTTTGTTTGTCCTGAAGGACCTCGATGGCCCTGTTTCAAGCTCAAACCTCATCATAGTACTAATTCTTGACTAACTGCATCACTTGTTGAACTTAACATTTAGTACCTTAAATTTGTTAAAGGCTATTATATAAGCCTAATACCAATTTATTTTTATCACATACCGGTTGTAAGCATTGTGCCAACAGTTCATGGACGGCTGCATGTAAAGTAATTAATTCTGCCCATCTAGAATTTTGATTAAAGTGTATTATGTCTGAGACCATATTTCACCATTTAATGTTTATATACATAGCAACATTGTCTTTCTTATGAAATAAAGTAGGGTAATGTGGTTGTTTCTCGTGAACTCTGCACATTCCTTGCAAGTACAGTATTCAAAAAGATTGATAGCAATTTAGCTGACAACTATGTTATGCAATCTTATAACAATGTAAGTGAGAAGGTACAATGTGTGAACATTAAAAGGTGAATTCTGATATATTATTGTAGTGCTGTAGAACTAAGTGCTAAATAATTAATTTTTCTTTGATGTAAACACATTATATTGGATATTTTTAAGAGTACCTGAGGGGGGAGGAATTATATACAGTATAATTATATAGCATACTTTTACTTCTTGACGGTCTCTGCTTTCAGCTTTGCAAATGTTGCCTGTTCATGCGAATTGGAAAAATAGCACAAAAAAATAGTATGAAAAAGCATTTTAAATTTTGATAAACTTGTACAAAGCAAATTCCTGTTCTGCATAGCCCATTGATTTTGGTCTTTGAAAATAATCGATATTATCTTGCAGCAAAGAGAATGGAAGAAGGTGCAACCACAGCACACTAACTCTTAACCTAACTATTGTCAAGTGGTTATTTACAACCTGCTGTGTAGTGTACTTGTTTATACCCACCTCTTTCATCATACTGGATATTTTGGAACCCTTCATCTTGCATGCATAGTAATGAAATTTTGTTAAAGTTAGGACTAATAAAATAAGCATTACTTGCATCAGTAACTTGAGAAGTTAATTAGCAGGTACCCAACATTATCTTTGGTATAATATGAGATTTGTTGGGTGAACATATAATGTACTCTTATTACTCCGAAGTAATTTAAATATAGACATTAAAAGGAAAATTGTCTTGTAAAGTAATTTTGTGTTGTGTATATATATATACTATATGATGTTTGCCCCTATTGTAGCTGATGTATATTTTACTGGCTCAAAGTTTTTTCTAGCCCTCATTATGCCAAGAAACTAAATGTTTTTTTTAATTAATTTCGTTTTGTAATGCTAATACTGTACTGTATTTGTGATTATCATATACACAATGTGATTACTTTTCGTGCTTTTTCTCAACTCAAATGTCTTTTTTTTCCAGTGCAAAGAATACATATTATATCTTACACTGTCTATGATTTACCTGGGAGAAAAGGCACCCAAACATGTTATCAAACTTATGATATTCTGGTAATGGTAATTAATGCGATTTTATGGAGAATATAAAAAACATATGATATTTCTATTATAAACCAACAATTTAAACGTGCAGTATTTCTTTAAAATTACTACTAGCTTGTGCACGTTTGGGATACACGTGATTTTGTAATTCTCAAGCATCCATAATTTTCCATTCATATATGAGCACAAAATGTTTATTTTGAATGCATATTTATAGTTTATTTAATTAAGAAGCAGCCAAACTTGTGTGTAGAAGTACCTCTAATCTCTGATGTTTACAAAATATAAAACAACATTGATCATGAACATATCTAATGTTACCATCGACAAATGGTGTTTCTTAAGTCGTTATTTAACCAGACTAAACGTTTGGTGCTTCAGTTTCTGGACAAGAGCTAGAACACCACCACCCTTGAAGGTGGTGGACGCCAAGACCGTCAGTAGTTTCAAAGCGTTATATGACAAAGAGTGCTGGGAAGACGGGACACCACGAGCGTAGCTCTCATCCTGTAACTACACTTAGGTAATTACTATCCAACAACTTTCATGCAGCCTTCCCTTCCAGACGTCGTTGGCGGGTGGGGGACTTGGTGCAGGTTGCCGGAGTGTGATGTTTGATTGCTGGCGTTTCATCTGTCATTTTTTAACCTTTTGCTCCTGCACCCTGTTACGACCCTGGGTCCAGTATTGCACTGTGGTAAGTGGACCAGGATCGTATAGCATTTGTTGACATACAGATGATGTAAGGACCCTTCACTTAGGTATGTATTTTAGTGTGATAGGCCCTGAAGGTGGGGAGATTATTTAACAGGGAGTAGCGGTTGATGTCTTTGCCCGCCAATTTGCTGCTAGGTGGAGCAGGATTGGTAACAGGGCAGGTGTAGGCTGCAGGCTGGGGCCGCTGGGCCGGTGATGGTGTGGACACAGGTGGTGCGGTCGGCTGTGTCGTCCCCCTTGGCTGGGTGGTGGACAGGACCAGGAGGTAGTCATAGATGTGTTCCTGGGTAAGGCCAGGAATGCAGACGTGAGTGGGTTTGCTGGTCGATGTGAGGTGGTGATAGCGTTAGCTATAATTTTCTTGATCTCCTGTCAAGTTCAAGTACGTTTATTAAACAATAAAATACACCTCAAAGGGATAGAGTAGCTTAGGCTATTTCTACCTCCCCCCTGTCGGTGGAGACAGTCAGATGGGACTGCAGTGTGAGTCACTACAGAGCAGACAGCGTTGACTGGATGATGTGCAGGCCGTGTAGTGGGCTCCTGTGCGCAGATACTGCATCTCTCTGCTTGCTAGGTGCACTTCCTGGTATAGTGAGAGTGCCGGTAGCACTTGAAGCACTGCTGGAGTTCCGTGTAGCGTTCCTTGGTCATTTGGGTATATGCAGTATGGTGATTCCAGTCCGTGGCGTGGATCGCTGCGATGGCCGTGGTGAAGGTCACCTTCAGTGTTGGAAAAATGCCTACAATCTCATTAAACTCAGCATTCCTTGTAAGTGCAATCTACCTGTCTCTGATATTCCTCTTTATCTGTACCCCACCATTCAAGTATCATACACACCTGTCACCAAGAAAGATAATGAGAATCTTGCTCTACTCAAAGCTGTCACACTTATTTATTTATTTATTTATTTATTTATATATATACAAGAAGGTACATTGGGTTTGTGAGAATACATTGGATAGTACAGTATTTACATTCTTGTAAAGCCACTAGTACGCGCAGCGTTTCGGGCAGGTCCTTAATCTAGCAGATAATTTTAAGTAGGTAATTTCAATCAGAATTGATAAATGATAAAGATACATTACAAGAGAAAAATGAGATGAGAGAGATAAGTAGGTATATTAAAGCATATTGTTATATTAAGCTCTGATTGATTACATTGACAGCTTGATTAGTAATTTAAACAAGGTTAAAAGACAACATACAGCAGATTGACAGCACATATAAGACAGCAATGATCACAATGGTAAAGATGTTCAGATTGGGTACATAAAGATTGGGAGACTGGGTAGCAAAAGATACAGATAAACAAGATTTAGAAACACCATACAACAGATTGGCAGCACATAAGAAAACAGCAGTGATCACAATGGTAAAGATGTTCAAATTGGGAACATAAAGGTTGGGAGATTGGGTAGCAATTGATACAGTGCAATTTTAAGGCAAAAAGTGAAAAACTATGAAGATGAAATTAGGTACTTTTTAGTATTGATTTTGAATGATGTAAAAGTTGGACAGCTTTTCAATTCAATAGGGAGTGAGTTCCATAAACTGGGTCCCTTTATTTGCATAGAGTGTTTACACAGATTAAGTTTAACTCTGGGGATATCAAAGAGATATTTATTTCTGGTGTGGTGATAATGGGTCCTATTACATCTGTCCAAGAAGAGTTTCAGACAAGGATTTGCATTTAAGAACAGGGTTTTGTAAATGTAGTTGACACAAGAGAATTTGTGGAGTGAGATTATGTTTAGCATGTTTAGGGAGTTAAACAAGGGGGCTGTGTGGTGTCTGAAAGCAGAATTTGATATTATTCTGATAGCAGATTTTTGCTGGGTGATGATGGACTTGAGGTGGTTTGCAGTGGTTGAACCCCATGCACCCCAGTTGAGATAGGGATAGATTAGTGCATAATATAGAGAGATGAGAGCAGAGTTAGGAACATAATATCTGATTTTGGAGAGTATACCAACTGTTTTAGAGACTTTCTTAGTTATGTGTTGTATGTGGGTACTGAAGTTGAGTCTCTTGTCTAGGAATATGCCAAGAAACTTTCCATCATTTTTATTGCTAATGTTTACATTGTCAATCTGAAGCTGAATTGCATTTGTAGATTTGCTTCCGAATAGGATGTAGTAGGTCTTTTCTATGTTAAGTGTTAGTTTGTTGGTTGACATCCATAAGTGGACTTTTTTTGTTTCATTATTAACAACACCATTTAGTGTATGTGGGTTGGGGTTGGAGTAGATGAGGGTCATCGAGAGTTTAAGATCTCACGAACACTGTGTCTACACCGACGGCTCAGTCCAATCTTCTACTGGACGGACTGCAGCAGCATGTAGGTTTTATAGAAATAATATTTGCACAAAGACTGTCAGTGTCAGGTTAAACAACTGGCTGACCTCCACACAAGCAGAACTAGCAGCATTACACCTAGCTACCAGTACATTAAAAAACATTGGAGGAGGAATAATATTTTGTGATTCAAAGTCTGCTCTTCAAGCAATCGAAAACTTCTCCTGGAAGATCTACAGCAAGAACCTCATACTACCAATTATAAATGATCTAATTGCTGCACAGAGTAAAGGGGTCTCGAATCTCCTTTATATGGATACCTTCATACATAAATATAACCCATCATAATGAGACAGACATTGCAGCCAAATTAGCGTGCAACAAAGATGAAGTTGAATCAAATCTAGGTATCCCCATCTGTAATATCAAAACTGTATTGGTCCAAACATTCAGGTCTAATAGGAAAGAAATTGCTTTTTTTTTTTTTGCAGAGATATTCCTGCGCGGGCCCTAAGCCTCTGGCTGGCCCACTAAGTGTTGCTTGTTTCTGTTTTACTTGGACGGAGTATGAGTATTTATTACTCGTATGGTCGCTTAATAAGATTTTGCCATATGTGTTTAACAACTTCTGCTCTGTTGAATCTAAGTTGAAATCTTAATGGGTTTGTAACTGGGCACTGTGTTAGATAATGTTCCAGTGGTCTGTCGGGCATTTCTCCAGTGTTGACATTTCCTCTCATCTTCCGGAAGAAATTACTGACTCCCAACGACCTGAAAGTACTAGTATTAAAAGCTATGATTTGTTCAGATCTGAAACCTATATCTATGGGCAGCATAAAACGTCCACCAGACTGTGCGACACAGTGGTTGCAAGGATCAGGTTGGGATACCGTTACCTGTGGCAGGTGGCTACAGGTGACGGATCTCCCAATCCTGAGCACTCCAGGTGCAAACTCTGTGAGCAGGAACTGCGGCATGATCTCCCACACTACATCACCGAATGCCCAGTTATTAGACCTTTCAGACCAGTTGGCATGAGGTACCTGGAGCTTTGCAATTACTTTATTCACTCTCGTATTCTTGAGGATATCCTCATATTGCACCCAAAATTTGCCAGTGCAGGCTACTAAACATATGGCCCTGTATGACTAACCATCCTGCGAGATGGGGACTTTTATTACCACTGCTGCCTTATTCACTCTTGTGTTGATGATATCCTCAAAATGCATCCGGAGTCTGCCAGTGCAGACTGCCTACCACATGCCTCTGTATGACTAACCATCCTGTGTGATGGGGATTTTTTTTTAGCATCACGTAGTTAGCTTTTTTGACACACTGTACTCCACTTCATATAGTCTAGGGTATCTGCACTAATGCAGATGTACCTCATGTATTAATAATAATAATAATAATAATAATAATAAAAGTGTTGGTCTGTGGATGTCGTCTAAGTTTGTGATGGTCTTGCAGGCCGCTACCGCGGTCAGCGTAGGGTTCTTGGAGTTGATGCTGGCGAGGATGTCGTCGGCCGCGTTCGGTGACCCTTGTGCTATGTTCCTGGCAAACACAGTCCTGTCCCCCAGGTAGCAACGGATTGGTGTGAGCGTAAGCTAGGCCGGCGTCTAGCAGGGTGGCGAATATCTTTTCAAGGTCCAAATCGATGGCGAAGAGGGGGTGGACACCCTCTCTGGTCTCCAGGATGTCAGCAGGAGAAAAGTTGGCGGTAGTTTTTGTACTAAAAACGCAGCCGTGGAGATAACGAGGATCTCCCGGAGGCGAACCATGACCCTGTGCAACATGGTGCAGATGGGCCCTGGACCATAGAAGCTTGGGTCGGCAGCTAAGTTCCCGTACCACCCCCTCTACGGACCACAGTGGGTCTGGATGTCTTGTGGGGCAGCAGAGCGGACACGTCTGCTCCCGTGGCGAACGTGCAGACTGTCGTTTTTTTTTGTTTTACCACTCATGAATACTGGAAGATATTCTTGTGCCCTACACAGAGTTTGCTAGTGCAGGCTTAAACTCGCATTTCATGTTCTCTCCTGATTCTACGTATGACTGACCATACTTTGAGATGGGAATATTAATTAGATGAATTTATAGCTAGTTTCTGATCTACACTGTAATCCTTCATATAAAATAGAGTAGCAGCACATTACAATGTATGGACATTTTATACATTGCATACACATGTATGCAATGTATACAATGGCTTGCAAATAACTTCACAGATTATATTGCAAACTGGTTTAATAATATATGAGCTTGTAAATATACAAAGGCTGTCAACAAGCTGTCAACAAGACAAACATAATCAATGTATGATGATCGTAAACTAAAAGCATTAAATTAACAATTAATAAATATGGTAACGTTATAAGAAGCAATTAGAGTATCTTGGATGTTAAACTCTCAAGTCTCGCTTGCTACAGTGAAAGAAGAGACTGAATTAACTTAGACAAATTGATTGACAAAATGCTGTTTATGGTCTCAGCACACTTTAGCAAAACCTGGAAATATATTAACAATATCATAGGTAACATATACGGACAAGTTTCTTATCCAGTCCTGCTGCAGATTATGTTACAACCTAGCATTAAGGTGGAAATTGTATGGATAATCTAAGATTAGAAACACTCATAAATCATGTTAAACAATATGATAAATAATGTTCTATATACTGATTATGAACTGAATACAGTCCAGTAGCACTGCACCCGGCGAGGAAGATATTGATGAGACAGTCCACTGAAACTCTCTACCCAACAATCCATTATACTTTGCATTGCATAATGCGAGTTATGTTATTTGGCAGCTGCCTGTCGCAGAACTTCCAATTTCGTTGTGCCAAATTTAAAACGTTAATTAATTGACACTTTTCTTCGCCTCTCAATGACCAGTAATCGCACGTCTAAAGCCTTTGAAAGCATGATACTCAACAGATTATTTTTGCATCGATTAGAGCATATGTTGCTTCAGAGGAATGGTTTTACTCATCACTAGAGTACAACCCTTAAATTGAACATGATAATAGAAGGCACATACATATATTTCTTTTAAGTTGAAAAATGCCCTGGATATTGAAAATAAAGAAGTAATATTGTGTGAGCTAGCTAAAAGACTACAGCAATGAAGCTAATGTAATTCAACTACACTGTATAGGCACTCCTCGAAGCCTAATCTAAAGTCCCACTTTGTTCAGTGAGCTAATAAACTATGAATCCCCTCACACATTTGGCTGCAAGAACATGATTATTCGATGTTCTCACTAATCGGATAATAAGGAAAATGTGGTATACACAACTACCAAATTAACAGCATTACCTTGCAACAGACTGATGACGAAAAGGACCTTGGAGTCAGAATGCATCATTCACTGAAAGTTGCACAACAAGTGAGAGCAGTAGTAAAAAGAAAAAAAAGCTAATCAAGCCTTGGGAATAATCAAGGGAACCTTTGACTTTAGGGAAAGAGGGTAGTCATTCAACTGTATATATCTCTGGTGCTCACTTGGATTATTGTATCCAAGCGTGGAGACCTAATGTTGAGAAAGACATAGCTGCTCTGGAAAAAATTTCAACCCCAGGCAACAAAACTCATTTTAGAACTATCAACTCTCATACCAGGAACGGCTGAGGGTCACAGGACTAACAACACTGCAAACCATACATGACAGGGCAGATGTTATCGAAACTTTTAAAATACTGAACAATTTGGAGGATGTTTATTCCAGACAACTTCTTCAAAAGGCCAGATGTAACACAAAGAAGGAGCAACGTTTTCAAGCTCAACAAGCCACAATGTAGGACTGAGAACAGATTATTTTTTTGCACCCACAGGCCTACCCATGGTACCGCCTTCCCGCAGCAGCAATAAATGTAAAAAAAAAAACATGATTTTTAAAATCGAGCTAGAAAAAACATCAGGACAAATGGGTGGGGAACCTTTGGCAAGTGTTACGACCCTGGGTTCCTTAGTTGGAAACCAGATGTCAAATTGAGCTCTAAATAATTACTTTACATTAATTGATAGGATTGGATCATGTGAGAAGGATAGTTAATTAACAATAACATTTATACTCTGGCTCCTCTCACCGCTGATGCGCTTTTGTTCCTATCTTCCTTGCCAGACGTAAGACGAATCTTATTTCTCACAGAGCATGAAGACTCTGGGCTTGTTGATTATTAAATATAATATTGAAATAATTATCAGCTATTCTTAGAATGATTAAGGTAGCTAGTAATGAATGTCTGAGTAAACTTGGGATGATGTCTGCTGTACGATCAGCTGAGTATCCGTCCGGCAGCAATCAGGGTAGGAGGCAGGAGGACTCTGGGCAGCTCTCTCTGGTGCTGGCTGTGGTTGGGCTCACATTTCCCCTCGCGGGTTCTGTACCCCTTTACCTTCTCTCTCTTTACCATATCCTGATTCTCAGTTCTACAAGATAAGTATATGTATAAGGTGTACCGGTCTCTGGCAAAAGTGTGTAGTAGTTTGTGTAGCCTGAGCTAGTGTTTATATTCCTAAGATTACTCTAGTTTGTGGTTTTTTTTTTTTTTTTTTTTTTTTTTTTTTTTTTTTTTTTTTTTTTGAGATATATACAAGAGTTGTTACATTCTTGTACAGCCACTAGTACGCGTAGCGTTTCGGGCAAGTCCTTAATCCTATGGTCCCTGGAATACGATTCCCTGCCGCGAAGAATCGTTTTTTCATCCAAGTACACATTTTACTGTTGCGTTAAACAGAGGCTACAGTTAAGGAATTGCGCCCAGTAAATCCTCCCCGGCCAGGATACGAACCCATGACATAGCGCTCGCGGAACGCCAGGCGAGTGTCTTACCACTACACCACGGAGACTGCCGGAGACTGTTGGTGAAACCACTGTGCTCAAGTTGTTCCAGGCTACCTATAGCCTTGGCTAGTGCCCTATCCAAGTAGACTTTACCCTAGTTTTGTAATTGTAAAACCTTGCATCCTGCCTATGTGGACCAAGGCTTTTAATGTGAAGTAGAGTGGTTAAGAAAATAGTTATATTATTGTATATGGGGGGTTATTAGAGGGTTTAATAAATAAGGTATAAGATAGGAGGTTTTCCTTTAATCCTGCTGAGTGTGGAATAGGAGATTACCTTAGACTGCAGATATATATCCTAACCTAACTTATTAATTACTGGGAATATTCTTCCCTGGGGGCCGGGGCCTTCCTATTTCCACTATTTTAGGAACTCTCTTATCTTGTACCATTGGCCCTCTCAGTACAATCACATTACTTTCCATAACAGCAAGCTACCGGCTTCTTGTCCTCGGGGCCAATGTACCCTTTGCATTCCGCTATGCTGAGTATGGGGTGCACAATAAACTAGCCGCCGCTCGAAGCAACATTTAAATATTAATTCTGGTGAGATCAAGGGCATTCGTTTCTAAGAGGACACCAGAGGCGGCAGCAGTAGCCTGAGCGGTGGAGGGCACAGGAGAGCCTCCAGGCACCACATCCACAGCTCCGTCAGGCAGGTGCTCTTGGTATACGGAAATGTACCCGGTCATATTCCTCATCCGCATTCGGTAAGTGAAGTCAAGGAGGAAAAGGGAGTTCTCCCGAGTGACAGTGTCCAACTCCACTAACAACAAGTAGGAGAATAGTGTTGCGTGGTGACGTGAGGAGCGCCTGTAAAAGCTAAGTCTCTTGAGGCCGAGGTCGTCATCAATGTTACAGTATATGTAGAGGGCGCCAGTCCATTCTTTCCACAACGTCTCCATTTTCTGTAGATTAATAAAAGTAACAAATAATTTGGCCCAGACATAATTTGTTGCATTTGTATTACTATATCTCGGTGAGATTTAAATAGTAAATTAAATTGTATATATTAAATATTAACAATATATTATTAACCATCACTCTTTATATGCGATGTACCATTGGCATTAGATAATATTTGTATACAACTCATCCTGCTGAAATTATGGTACTTATAGTAACTATTTGGTATAAAGTACTAATATATAGTGATGGAACACTTGTAAACCACTTTTTGTACTATTAATTTTATAGACTCTGAAAAAATAAGGCTTAACTTGAACAAACTTAAACGTTCCCTTATACACTGAGTACTATATTATGCCCAAGATAGCGTGTATTAGGCTTAGGATTGCTAGGAGAGGTTAGGGAGGTCTTATATTTATGTTGCAGTTAAAAAGTTTCGGGTTTGTCAAAATTCAATAATACAAGTCGTCTTTCTGGTGGTCCATCACTTCATATTGGTACTTTCCCCAAACAGTTACTAAAGTACTGTCATTATATGAAGATGGGCTGTTTGTTGTATAGTAGAATTAGGAGCATCCTAAAGATTGAAATTACAGTTATAATAACTTGAATCATAGATAGTATTAACGTTTAAGATTTTGTTTTGTATATTACATATATAAGATGTTTCTTTGATAAGGACGTGTTAAAGTATTAGCCCTGTCATGAACGAGGTGATCCAGTCGTCATAATTTTAATTATATTATATTGCTTAATGTACCTTATTATATCATGTTGATAATGTTGGTTTGCATTGTACATGTGAAATTTGAAGCCTGTGAGTCAGGTAGAAGTTTTATAGCTTAATGAAATGTTTTGTTTGTCATAGCTAGATACAACTGTATGATAATTTAATTACATATTGCATTTGTGGTAATGCAGTGATTGCATTTACTATTAATACTTTTGCATGGTCGTGTAATCTAATATACCAGCCGGTAATTTACATCTGTTAATGTAGCATGTCCTTGCTTGCTTTTTTTTTTTTGCAGGGATATTCCTGCGCGGGCCGTAAGCCTCTGGCTGGACCACTAAGTGTTGCTTGTTTCTGTTTTACTTGGGCGGAGTATGAATATCTATAATTCGTATGGTCGCTTCAGTAAGATTTTGTCCCATGTCTTTAACAACTTCTTCTGCTCTGTTGAATCTAAGTTCAAATCTTAATGGGTTTGTAACTGTGCACTGTGTTAGATAATGTTCCAGTGGTCTGTTGCGCATTTCTCCACAGTGCTGACATTTCCTCTCATCTTCCGGAACCTGTAAGCCTATTTCCCATGCACATGGGTATCCAAGCCTGATGCGATGTAAGTGTACTTCTGTTGTTCTACTGCTCCCTCTCATCAAACTAAGTGGTTCGTAGTTGGTTGAATTCTTGTACCAACCCGCAGATCCTGATGTTGCAACTGCTGTGTTGTGGTCACTGTACATCTTTTTCATAGCTCTGTTTTTAATTACTTTCTTAATCTGTAATAGACTGTGATATATAAATGTCTACATTTCGTCTCTTAGTTGCAAGTTTTGCAGCTTCGTCTGCAATGTCATTTCCTATTATTCCCACATGACTTGGCACCCAGTTGATAAGTACCCAACGGCCTTGACGTTTGAGTGCTTGCATTAATGATATGACATTTGTGATCAGATGTATGTTATCATGTATGTGTTCTTGTTGCAAGGTTTCAATAGCAGTTCTCGAATCTGTATGTATGATTTTTTTTTTTTTTTTTTTTTTTTTTTTTTTTTTTTTTTTTTTTTTTTTTTTTTTTTTTTTTTTTTTTTTTTTTTTTTTTTTGATATATACAAGAGTTGTTACATTCTTGTACAGCCACTAGTACGCGTAGCATGATAACATGTTGTATGATAACATGCAACATGATAACATGTTGTCGGTGTTCAGCAAGAGCATGTTCCAAAGCCTTTTGAATGGCTAGCATCTCTGTTTGTAAAGTCGAACACCCATTTGAGTTTCCCCAACTATTTTCAGAGTTTCCTGAGTTAACTGGAGCTCCGGTTTCTTGTCCCTGCTGTGAAGTAAGTGAAGCTGTCAGATGCCAAGTTTGCTTCTATATGCATCTGTGCAATATTACGTAGCAGATGAGGATTAGTCTGGTTCTTTTTTCCTTCAATAACCATAATCTTAAAGTCTGCTGGCAGAGATTCCCAAGGGGATTGCATAACAAAGTCTGCATGTATTTCGTCGACACCTCTCTCAGTGACTGTGTTTGTTATATCGAATGTATTGATGGTGTTTATCATACAATGGGTCCACCTGTTGCTATTGAAGGCTCTTCTGTCCCGAGTTAGTGCTCCAGTGATTATATCTTTAAGTGAACTGATTCTAGGTCTAGTCAATATCTTGATCAGCATGTATGCAGCACAATCCCTTTTACCCTTATCTCAATTGACGTTAGCTTGGTTTCTATTTTTAGGCTCAGTATTTTAGTCCATCTGGGAGCTCCTGTTATGATTCACAATGCATCATTTTGAATAACCTCAACGTTTGCCCACTGACCAGGAGAAAGAGTGAGTAAGGCAGGCGCTGCATAATCAACTAGGGAACGAACGGCGTGTATGTAAAACATTCTTAACACTTTGTGTCCCGCTCCTAGACGGGGCCCTGTGATTGCTCTCATTATATTTAGTCGTGATTTTGCTTTCTCCTTTAGATATTGAATTTGCTTGTTGAATGTCATTTTAGAATCTATCCACACTCCGAAATATTGATATTGTGTAACCCACTGACGGTTAATGTCTTGAATGCGTAGATGCTGCTAAATGTTGTTTTCATATTAGTAAATTTATGATTTGAAGTTTGCATATAATATATTTTAATGTAGCGACGCCTTTTTTCAGCTTGTTCTGACCGAGCAGAGTGGAAGATATCACTCGTTCATAACTGTTATACTAAAAGTTATTTTATTTATATATACAAGAGTTCTTACATTCTTATAAAACCATTAGCACGCATAGCGTTTCGGGCAGTTAGGTTATCTTGAGATGATTTCGGGGCTCAGTGTCCCCGCGGCCACGACCAGGCCTCCACCCCCAGGAAGCAGCCCGTAGCAGCTAACTCCTAGGTACCTATTTACTGCTAGGTAACAGGGGCATCAGGATGAAAGAAACATTTTGCCGATTTGTCTCCGCCTCCACCGTGGATCGAACCCGGAACCTTAGGACTACGAATCCGAAGCGCTGTCTACCCAGCTGTCAGGCGCCCCTAATCAGGACAGGTCCTTAATCTGAATTAATCTTAATCTGAATTTTCCCTGGAATACGACCCGGCAAATCGTTTAACAACCAGGTACCCATTCACTGCTGGATAAACAAAGGTGTACAGTTAAGGACTGGCGCCTAGTCAATCCTCCCCGGCCAGGATACGAACCCAAGCCAAATCGCTCGCGAAGTGCGGGGCGAGTGTCTTACCACTGCGCCCCGGAGTGCAGTGGTAAGACACCTACTGCCAAATAGATGAGTGAGCGTCTATCAGCTCCCCAGGAAGTATGGGACAAGACTTTAAGTAAGGTTAGGACCTTAGAGCATTCAACTTAGAGGTAAGATAAGAGCTAAGTCATCTTCTGTATGAGGAACGGTTGAGAGCCACAGGGCCAGCAACACTGCACACCAGGCATGACAGGACTGATCTCATCGAAACTTTTAAATACTGAACAATTTGGTTGATCCGGGAAATTTCTTCAAAAGGTCAAATGTAACACAAACAAGGAACAACGTTTTCAAGCTAGGCAAGCCACAATGTGGGCTAAGAACAGTAGATGCCTTTTCACCCACTGGGCTATAAACTCATGGAACCGCCTACCTGCCGAAGTCGTAAATGCCAAGACTGTTGAATTTCAATATCCAACTAGAAAAGCTTATCAAGGCAAATGGAGGGACCTTCGACAAGCCGCCGGCTTCCTGTCCTCGTCAAGGCCACTAGTGTTAGTGGTCCTCAGGTAAATTCAGGTACGAGGGGGCCAAGGAGGCGCCAAAGATCATCCCCAAAAGTTTAGCAAAGTCTTTATTCAAAAGAGGATTACCACAGAGATACCACAGAGGATTACCAAAGGTGGACGAAGAACGACCTGCTTCCAAGTAAAAGTCATAGCACAAGTCTTAGTTGTTAAGAACTTGAAGCCATGATTCGTGGCCCAGGACGACACGGCACCACTCGCAAGTTGAAGCCATCGTTGGAGGAAAGGTGAGCCATCACCCCGAGTGCAGAGGGTGAGACAGTTAACATAGAGGGCCGAAAAAATCCCAGAACGAGAAAAAGAAGGAAGACCATTTAGAGAGAACTAGGAAGAGCAGTACTCAGAACACTACCTTGAGGAACATCTTCGTATTGTCGACAGGAGTCAGACAAAGTGGTACCAAGTCTCGCTTAAAACAAATGACTAGAAAGTGAAGGAAGAGTGGGAGATATCCACGAACTACAAGAGTGTAGTTTGGACAAAATGTTTTATCTCCATGTGGTGTCATAAGCCTTTTCCAGGTCAAAAAGAACTGCAACAACGGAGGTCTTCGCAGCAAAGGCAGTACGAATGCTGGACTCTACGTCCAATAAAACATCCGCTAAGCTGCGACACCTGTAAAGGCCAAATTGAGAAGGAAGAGGTGGCGACTGTGCTCTAAGAACAACATCAGAAGTACCTTGATCATACATTCGAAAAGTTTGCAAATGCAACTTGTCAGGGCAATGGGGTGAAAATCCTCAGGGGGAAATCCGTTTAGAACCGGTTACCAAATAGAAAAAACAACGGCCTCAAGCCAGACCTCGGTGTCTGATGACCTCGGAGGTGACTGATGACCTCGGAGGTGACTGATGACCTCGGAGGTGACTGATGACCTCGGAGACTGATGACGTCTCCCAAATACGGTTATAGATATTCAGCAAATAATATAAAGCACTCTGGAGGAGATGACGGAGCATCGCATATCTTGAAGTTATCTTGAGATGATTTCGGGGCTTTTTAGTGTCCCCGCGGCCCGGTCCTCGACCAGGCATCCACCTCCAGGAAGCAGCCCGTGACAGCTGACTAACACCCAGGTACCTATTTTACTGCTAGGTAACAGGGGCATAGGGTGAAAGAAACTCTGCCCATTGTTTCTCGCAAGAACCCTCTGACCAGGCCTACTAGTTGATGGTCTGGTCAACCAGGTTGTTGCACTCAGCTGCTCGCAGCCTGACGTATGAGTCACAGCCTGGTTGATCAAGTATATTTTGGAGGTGCTTATCAAGTTCTCTCTTGAACACTGTGAGGGGTCGGCCAGTTATGTCCCTTATGTGTAGTGGAAGCGTGTTGAACAGTCTCGGGCCTCTGATGTTGATAGTTCTCTCTTGAACACTGTGAGGGGTCGGCCAGTTATGTCCCTTATGTGTAGTGGAAGCGTGTTGAACAGTCTCGGGCCTCTGATGTTGATAGTTCTCTCTTGAACACTGTGAGGGGTCGGCCAGTTATGTCCCTTATGTGTAGTGGAAACGTGTTGAACAGTCTCGGGCCTCTGATGTTGATAGTTCTCTCTTGAACACTGTGAGGGGTCGGCCAGTTATGTCCCTTATGTGTAGTGGAAACGTGTTGAACAGTCTCGGGCCTCTGATGTTGATAGTTCTCTCTTGAACACTGTGAGGGGTCGGCCAGTTATGTCCCTTATGTGTAGTGGAAGCGTGTTGAACAGTCTCGGGCCTCTGATGTTGATAGTTCTCTCTTGAACACTGTGAGGGGTCGGCCAGTTATGTCCCTTATGTGTAGTGGAAACGTGTTGAACAGTCTCGGGCCTCTGATGTTGATAGTTCTCTCTTGAACACTGTGAGGGGTCGGCCAGTTATGTCCCTTATGTGTAGTGGAAACGTGTTGAACAGTCTCGGGCCTCTGATGTTAAGAGAGTTCTCTCTCAGAGTACCTATAGCCCCTCTGCTTTTCTACAGGGGTATTCTGCACATCCTGCCATGACTTTTGGTCTCATATGTAATATTTCTATGTGCAAATTTAGGACCAGCCCCTGTGAGGTGGTAACATAAGATTTCCAACTCTCGTGCTTAGCTATACGGACGGTCCTATGGGCCACTGCACTTGCCTTCCGAAACAAAATAAATGAATCGGATATCTGTCGGCTTCTGTGTCTTTTCCAGGCTGCACGCTTACAGGGTACAGCCCGAGCATAGTCCGAATTCCAATAGGGAACGCACTTCAGTATGCTGCGGGCGAAATAGCCAGGAATAGAGCAGA